AAAAAAAAAAAAAAAAAGAAGAGATGTTCCTGAATTGCTCGCTGTGGTTGCAGGGGACGTGGCTGCCCCTCTGAGAGATGAAGCTACATGAAAACTGCTAACCCATCACCACCGTTCAGAGCCAGCAGGGCCCCCAAACCTAGAGGGCCTGTGTGGAAAGCACAGAACAAGAGCGGCATTAGCAGCTTCTGCCAGCATTGGGACCACCCCGGATGAGACTGGATGGGAAGCTCCCCCTCCATCACAACATGCAGCCAATCACACATGGACACCCAGCCTCTTCTCCACTTCGCTGGACAGCCAGCTCAAGGAGAAGTAAGAACCAGAGGCAGGAAGAGGGGAGGGAAGGTCTGAAGCTGAATTCTGAACTGAAATACTTATGTAACCTCAGTTTCAGATGAATCACTGAATTCCCTTGAGAATCTAGAATAAGTTGTCTGAAAGAAAGAAGGCTGGAGGTTCAGATTCAGACATTAATTTACTCTAGGAAAAAATGTTCCATTTTTGCATACCCGAGTGTTTGGGACCCTTTACCTGTGAGGTTTCTTGCTTGTTACAATGACATGGCTACTGTGTGGGGAATGGTTTTTTGTTTTTTTTCCCTTCATTTGGGGGAATGGTGTGAGAGAAAGAATGGGAACAGGAAGACAAGGGGCTTAGGTAAGGCAGGATGGTGGCAGAGAGAAGAGATAAGCAAAAGGACACGAGAAACAGAATCGAGAATTGATAGTGATGTGATTGGGTGTGAGAGATGGTAAAAACAAAGCAGTTAGGGACGATACACAAGTTTCTGGCTGCATCAGTGAGTCGATGGTCGTGCTCAGCACTCATTAGGGGCAATTCAGGGAGAGGTGTAGGTTTGAAGAGAACATGAGTTCAGTTTGAGACACCTATGGGACCTATAGGCAGAACTGACTAAAACGCAGCTCTCTGGGTCTGAAGCTCAAGAGAAAGGTCTAGGCTAGAGAGAAACATCTGGGAGCATGCAGATGGTGTCATAAATGCCAGGAAAGAGAGAGTATTAAGGACATATCGAATGTTGCGTAAGTTCAAATAAAGAGAGAACTGAAAATTGTCTCTTGAATTTAGCTACGTGGAGATCACATGTTACCTTTGAGAAAGCAATGTTGGAGAGTGAGTGGGAAGTGAGGAAGTTGAAACAGTGAGTGCAGATAAGTTTTCCAAGAAGTTTAGCTGGCAAGGGGGAGAGAGAGCTGTAGATGGAGGGGAATATAGCTTCTTTTTTTTTTTTTTAACCTGAGAAGGAGGTTGAATAGACAAGAGTGAGAAAGAATTACTGAGAGTGAGGTGAATGAAAGTCAGGGGCAGATGGGATCCAGAGCACAGGCCTTAGAGAGGGGCCTGAGATGGGGGAGGAAACATCTTTCATAATAAAAGGCAAGGTCGAGTAAAGAGGCAAGGTGGGTAAAAATGCAAGTAAGTTTATATGGCATGGAAAACTGAAG